TAATTTTATACATTTCTTGTGAAAGAAACATTTCTTATTCAACGGCCATAAAAATTACTTGTATTTATATTAATGATGTCTCCAAAGTTCAACGAAGTTTTCGCAGAAAAATAACTTATCAGAAATCGTGGCCACGGTTTGGTGCATTGCTCTGCGACGAAAACAAGCTTGAGCAATGGCGACGTCGAACGGTGCACACTCGGTAAGTAATCCTACAATTTTTTGTTTATAGCGTAGTTTATACAAATTATTCCCAAAAAGATATACGTATTTTGGAAATGTTGAGTCGAATTAGTCTAGGAATCGATTAATTTTATGGAAGAAAACCTTTCAAACAGCTGTAGTCCGTAAACTTCTCACGTGTTGGGCTGTGATTGGCAAGGACTCATAAGAAATCAATTCATAAAGAATGGAACATATCTACCGTGTTATAGGGGGGTCGACTGTATTTGTATATAATATGCATATAATATTTGTATATACTGTATATCTTGGCAGATAAGACAATCTTCAGATAAGACAAGGTTTAAATTTTCGTCAAAGTTTTATAGTTTTAGCATATATCTGTCCTATAAGATGACCCTCAAACTATCAATGGCTTATTAATTTAGTTTAGATCAGCGATCATCATCTGGATAATAATACTGTATAGCATATACGGAATTATGTCCTATTCATAATTTTTTGAAAGAACATTAAATTATATTTTCTTGCATCTGGCAGTACTGCCTTGCAATTGTTGCAAACATTCACACTGATTCGGGCATTCGGGTAATGACCTCGACTATTCACAAAAACATCATATGGGTTATTCTATTTTGTAGACATACCTTACTCTCTACTAGTAAATAATTACAGTTTGTCCATTTTTTTATAATGGTTTTAATTTATATAAATTTCAATTTAATTTTTTTGTATTGTCCTATAAGATGACCCCAGATTTTCGGGGCCTTTTTTTATGATTCAACTATCGTCTTATCTGCCGAGATATATGGTATGTATATATATATATATATATATTTGTATAATATATGCACAGGATTTTTCATTAATTTAAGAGCAATAGAACTTTTATTTTTTATTAATACATACAATTTAAAATATTAATACAATTAGGGAAATTATATTATAGATAACCACCTATGGAATTTCGGGACTTTGAGTATCTATCTGAACTGAGGGGACCGAGATGACTTCAACGATACCCTACTTTTGGACTGGAGACGAAAAATAATAAAGTTATCATACTTTTTCTGGTGATCGCATGATGTAATTGTGCAGTTAATGTTACCTATGGTGAGTAAAATGGCGGCTCATCTCTGATTCCAGCAAACAGAAGAAAGGAAACAGTGGGGACGCACGTTCTGTCCTAACC